GGTAAAGCTGGGGCACAGACTATAATCTGGGATCATTTTCTGGGCCCAATTTGTGCTTCCACCACTTATTACTCTTGGGATCCTAGCCAAATCGCTTAATGTTTCTGCTGTTCAGTTCCTGACTTGTTAAATGGTGTATCATTTATGCCACGTCTCAGTAAAAAGTTGAGGGCTAAATAAGATAGTTGGTGCAAGCGCTTTGAAAATGTAAAGTGCTATACAAATATGAAGTATTTAAAAGGAAACAATGTATTGAGTTATCCTTAGAAATCAGGGCAGATGAAATACTTAGGTATGTAAGAGATGAATGGAAAAGGAGCAACTGTTATCCAAGGAGAACGATATTAAGATGATAGAACAAAGGATTAAATATGCAATGGGGACAGTTTTGCATTAGTTTTGAAATGATGAAAGCCTCAACAAAAAGCCTTTGCTGTTTGACATTTACGTTGAGTTTATTTTTACAGATAGTGGTTTCTTTAGGTATCATCATACCTTTGGACCATAGTGACATACTTAAGACTTAAACAACTACTTCCTTCCCTCTTCTCATGACGGCTACTACTAAATGAGTATCTATACCTTTACATACTGAGAAAAACGCAGGACCATATACATACTTACATGCACTCTATGCATGTTATCTACTCCAGCTTTTGTTATAAAAAATTGAAATTGCCTGCTGATGTTAGACTACGCAGGCCACTTGAGAGCAGGGATTGTCCCTTGTCAAAATCTTCCAATGGCTTTCCATTTACTGTCCTTAAAACAGTCCAGTACTTAATATGGCACAAAAGGCACTTTATGATCTGGTCTCCACCATTTCTGACTTTACGTCTCACTACTCTCCTGTCTGGTGATTCAGTCACGCTTACATTCTTTCAGGATCTCCAGTGTGCCAGATATTCTCACAATAGCTTTTGCACAGGCCGTTTCATCTGCCCAGTGCACCTTGCTCCATTCTTCTTGGCTAACTCCTACTCTCCTGGTTTAGATATTACCTCCTCTGACAACCTACCTTGAACCTCCTTCTCAAGTCTGGGTTTGCCTCTTTCAAGCATATCTTCCACCTCCCTCATTATAGCACTTCCCACATCTTATAGTAATTGCATGCTTAATTACCTGTCTCACTAGAACAAGCTTTCTGAAAGGGTTAACAGTCTTGTTCATGAATGTTTCTGCCATTTTAATAGTCCCTGGAATTTAGGAGGTACACAATAAATATTGCCTTATACTGAAATTGCCAATGGCAAATACTTGGCACACAAATTTACTGCAAGATAGCTTTAACAGTTCTCTGCTAGGGGACAAGGCACTTGGGGTTGATGATGGCAAAAAGAAACAAGCCTGGTGAAGTCAAGTGGCCACTTCAAGGAGCCCACTGCTATTTCAGCCCAAGAAAATTCTGCACATGCATAATTAGCCACAGGGGAGATTGGAGGTGTGTTGTGTGGCAGAGGAGGAGGAAGTAGCAGTGAAGTGAGTAGTGAATGTTTATTTTGAGGACTTTCTGGTGTGACCAAGTGGCTAAAAAAAGTCACATTACATAAGTCAACTAGGTGTCTGTAAGTTCTAACTAGTACTGATCTCGTATTTATTTAATTTTCATACTCATACACTACATGAAAGAGTTACTGATATACATTACTATTATTGTAGTAGTATCTTTGCAATCTTTTGCTATATATATTTTTAAGTTTCTCAGTACTTTTTGAAAAGAGGTAGTTTCAGTTTTGACCACCTGTGTTTACTGCAAAGGCAATACTTCATATTTCAGAAGAGTAGCAGTCTCTATGGAGACTTTCTTGCCTAACACTTAGAAAAGCCAGGCCCTTTATTAGGCTAAAGCAGCAGTGTTCTACATGCAGTGGGTAAATTCGGAATTGACTGGATAAGGGTTCAATATTATTAAAGGATTAATAAGCCCCAATGCTTCTGTAAAAGCATTATAATAAATATGCAACTGTCTTTTGGGTTATCATCAACTGGTACGACACATTTTGTTGTGGCTGCAAGAGAGTAACAACGGATTTAGAAATGCACCAACGAGCCAACTGAAGATTGTAAGATTCCCCAGGAAAAGCCAATGAATAATGAGTCTCTCCTATATCCTCAAAAAATGGCTCCAGAAGACAGATTGATAATAATCACTTCTATTTACTTCAGGACATAATATGCTATTTAGATCCATGGATTACACTATGTTTTAATTCTGTTTTAAGTATTTGTAGGGACCAGGTGCAGTGCCTTATGCCTATAATCCTAGCACTCTGGGAAGCAGAGGCAGGAGGATGGTTTGAGCTCAGGAGGCTGAGGTTGTAGTGAACTATGATGATGCCACTGCACTCTAGCCTGGGGCAACAGAGTGAGACCCTGTCTCAAAAAGAAAAAAAAAAGTGTAGGATATTTTATTTTTGCAAAGATAGATAATAAAACCAGACATATTAATAACACATCATCAAAATTAGACTTAAAATGTAGCTCATGGCTCTGTCCTGTTAAAAATGTCACAAAAATACATAATTAAAATACCACCCTGCTACTCTCTCTTGAGGAGGCTTATATTCAAGTTGACAAGAAGTACCCCAATATTTACAGATATAGCTTTTTTTTTAAAGGCAAGTATGAAAATGAGGTTTATTGAGGAGAGAAAGATGGGATTATAGGGTAAGAGCAAGATATAGGTTTACAAAGCATGATACATATGCCACAGATGACAACTGGACCCACTGTCGCAGCAAAGGGAGAGCAAAAGGAAGGGTGCAAAAAAAAAAAAAAAAGCCAGACATAGCTTTTGTTGATAGAGTCTTTCTGGGATTTCAGCAAAAAGAAATAGTTCAAATTTTACTCCTTTTAGCTACTAACGTGATTTAGCTACATCACTTTGGCACATGGTATTATTAATATTACTTCTCCTACTGTAGCAAATTAGAGTTTTCTCAAGGCCTTTCCCCCCACTTTCTGGAAGTAAAGCTTAAATATCATATATTTCAAATTAAAATGTTATCTTCAAATATTCATGTACCAGGCTGACATAGTCACATATATCCTTTCCAATTTCAGGCTAAACAGACATACATTTAGAATGTATTAATGTATCAAAGCAAAAGATAACCCAACTTCATCATCAAGAGAAATTGTGACCTTCTATGTACTATTTGATGGAGAAAACATGGATTTTTGACACATTTTATTCAGATAGCAGTCTGATCACACATGGTCCAAGAGTACTCAAATAAGTCAAATATAATCAGATGTTAAAGATTGGTCTTCAAACATTATAGCCAATGATGCCACGCTTGCCTATGATCTCTCCGACATAAAACCACATCCACACCTCAGTGGCCACCAAACCATTCAGCACGGCTTCCTAAAAAAAGAAGTACAAATTTTAAGGTACCTTTTTTTTTTCTTACACATTTAAAACTATTCTTTTTCCAGGATTAAGAGGCAGAGAATACAAGGATGCTATTCAAAATAGAGGGCAGTTTTAGTCAAAGTTGAGAAATAATGATGTTAACTTTGTTCAACTGCTGAGAACCCTTGAACTTTCAGTTTTATAAGGTAAGTAGTCTAGAGCTTATAAATTCTTTCAAGGCATTCTTTAAAGACCTGAACTGACTTAACCCTTTCATTATTAGTTTATGAGACACTTTATGAGCCCTAAAACAACCCACATCCTAGAAATAGTTGACACATTCAGATAGTGCATTCTTATGAAAGGATGGCTCTAGGAAGGCCAAGTCTGGCCAAAGAAAATCTGCTGAAAGATGAAGAGCTTTGTTTCCCTCTTTAGACATCATTTTTATTCATGTATTATTTGGCTTAAATCTTTCCAAATATTCAGTACTTAGTTTCACAGATCAACATTTTATTGCCTCAAAGAGAAAAATACACATAAGGTTCAAGAAAGCAGTTTCATGCAAGCAAAAGTATGGATCTTGAAACAGTAGTTGAAAAAAATTCCATCGTATAACAACAACTCTGGGTCTTTTCCTCTTAGCACTTCTGGAAGTGAATTTTCTTTGTCAAAATCAGACCAGACGCCTGTAATCCTAGCTCTCTGGGAGGCCGAGGCGGGCGGATTGTTTGAGCTCAGGAGTTCGAAACCAGCCTGAGCAAGAGTGAGACCCCGTCTCTACTAAAATTAGAAAGAAATTAATTGGACAACTAAAAATATATAGAGAAAAAATTAGCCGGGCATGGTGGTGCATGCCTGTAGTCCCAGCTACTGGGGAGGCTGAGGCAGGAGGATCGCTTGAGCCCAGGAGTTTGAGGTTGCTGTGAGCTAGGGTGACGGCACCACGGCACTCTTGCTGGGGCAACACAGTGAGACTCTGTCTCCAAAAAAAAAAAAAAAAAAAAACCAGACCAGAACTTATTGGAAGTCTTCTGAAAAATAATCATATTTCCCAGGATGTAGGTTCTAAAGTAGGCAGTTAGCTATTTAGGTCTTTTGTACCCTGTGCTTGGATCATGCAAGTAAACATAAAATCCAAGTTCCAATTCTTATAGTTTTTAGACTATTATCTTAACACAATTCAATAGTCCAGGTTTTGGTATTTTTACCCTCCACAAAAGTGTTAGCTTCCTGACTGTGATACAGTTCAAGAGATGTTTTGGCTGAACTGGAGATAAATGCAGGACTACAGATGAAAAAAAGTACAGAATCAGGAAAGTATGTCATCATATTTTAGTATACTATCCAAAATAGGAAAGGAAAAAAATTTCCCAGTAAAAATGCTCACTTTTTTTGCTATAGTAGAAGACTCCTAGAAAACTAAGACATAAAATAGTCCAATTATTTCTATCCAGATGATGAAATTAGAAAAGTAAATATCTTTCTCAGCAGTCAAGAAAGAGATTATCTCTCATTATGTTGGATTCAGCCTCACTGGAAATACATATATTAATCAAAACAATCAGAAAAATCCCAAGGGAAAACATTCTCTGTTATATACATACATTTTCATTTAGCCCATAGTTAGTTACCTTAACTGTAAGCTGTTTGAAGCTACCAGTTTGAGCACTATTGATTATTTTTTTCAGGCTCTGAAAAGCTCTAGGGATCTCAGCAGGGGTTGGAGGAACCAGCTCAACCTTGGCGTAGTACCAAAATGTGGCCAATCGAGGCTTCGAATAAGTCACAGCAGCTGGAAAACAAAACAAAACAAAACAAAACAAAAAAACCAGGATGAACTCACTAGAGACCGAAAGAAGCAGATGTGTGGGCTGGACACAAATATTTATTCATGCATCACATTCATTCACTGCTTGTACCAAATGTGCACCCGGTGTGAAATGTCAAAGCTGCTCCCTGGTAACAAGAAGCTTTTAAAGATGCAGAACACCTGTGTCACGGGTGGTTCAATCGGGCAGGAAGCTATAAGCACATTCAATTAGGCCAGTACTTCACTAGCGGCCAGCTAGTACTGTTATTTCATTTATGAACGGCAAATCTAGTTAACTTGTAAAGTTACTAGAAGTTGGATTTAAAAACAAGAAAACAGCAGCACTTTATTCATATTTTCTTGGTAGACCAGCAAATTTAGAGGGAAGAGGGAAGGGGAGGGAAGAAGCTATGTAGAATGGCACTCTTAAGAATAAGATTTTTGGGCCGGGCATGGTGGCTCACGCCTGTAATCCCAGCACTTTGGGAGGTGAGGCGGGATGGTTGCTTGAAGCCAGGAGTTTGAGACTTGCCTGAACGACACAGCGAGACCCTGTCTCTACAAAAAACAGAAACATTAGCTGGGTGTGGTGGATGCACCTGTAGTCCCAGCTACTCTGTTGGGTGAGGCAAGAAGATTGCTTAAGCCCAGTAGTTTGAGGTTGCAGTGAGCTTTGATGATGCCACTACACTCTATCATCCTGGGCAACAGAGTGAGACCCTGAGTCATACAAAAAAAAAATAAAAATAAAAATAAAAAAATAAAAACACTGCAATATTGGCCACAAATCCAGATGGAATTATAACAATTAGTACCCATTTTTGGTATCCTCAGCAATATGTGCTGGATTAACTCTTTCTCTAAAAACCCAGCTATTCCTCTTTCAAAACACCATAAATAATAAAAGTAAAACCTACATGTATTAAGAGTAGCCAAAACCAGAATCCATTAACTAAATTAAATTCCTCAAGGCACTTACTATTTCAACAAGAGATTCTTAATGACCAGGGTAGATGTGACACTATAGCAGTGATTTCGGAAAGAGGAATTTTTAATACAAATTACAAGAAAATGTACAATAGCATGAATACATGAACATTCATAAAGTGTCTATTGTTCAAAGATGGATTATCCAAAGCTCTTGAAGTTTTTCTTATTATTAACTGCCTGTATTTCACTATTCTAAGAATTACTATATCCCTCATCTTCTGTGTTTGGAGCCATGGGTATGTCTTTAAGCAGACACAAAGGTCTAAGACAGAGTTCTAAATAGAACTGTCAATGCCTGTAAGATGGAGCAATCAAAAAGTACAAAGTCTTGTGGAACAGCCAACTAATTGTCTTTAAAATTATCTTCAACACACGAATATATCATCCTCTTAAAAAATGAATCAGTACACTGTACATAAAACTAGTTGGTAAATTTATTTCTCAGAGAGTATAGGTTAAAAACTTTGAAACTGCTTTACATGTATACGAGAGATTAAAAAACATAAATACGTCTCTACTAAAAATAGAAAGAAATTAATCGGACAACTAAAAAAATATATAGAAAAAAAAATTAGCTGGGCATGGTGGCGCATGCCTGTAGTCCCAGCTACTAGGGAGGCTGAGGCAGGAGGATCGCTTGAGCCCAGGAGTTTGAGGTTGCTGTGAGCTAGGCTGACGCCACGGCACTCTAGCCCAGGCAACAGAGCGAGACTCTGTCTCAAAAAAAAAAAAAAAACATAAATAAATGAATAGCAGATGGTGGGAACCAGGTGGGAACTACTCTCACTGAAGGAGAGTGAAGTTATAGATGAGCAAGAAAAGAATCAAGAATAAACCCTGTGGTACCAGATTAGGGTTGGAGACATCCATATCAACTCATGTTTACCTTAATATATATATGGATGGATTGATACTGAAACAATTATATATATGCATGTATACACATGGATCAGTATGCATACACACATATACACATGTGTCTATATAGATAAATATCCATATCCCTATCCACTGAGAGGACCTAGAAGCAATGATAGTCTAGTAGCAATGAACATACCTAGCACCTAGATCTTAGTTTCTAATTTCCATTGTCCAATAAAAGGAACTAGGGCTCCTTGGAGAAATGGCTGGTTCTATGACTGGGACAGGGAAAACACAAGATGAGTCTGACGCATCTTGTAGCCCTAGAAAAGTAAGGGAGCATGTCAGAGGGACACAGGTGCCAAACTGAAAGAGCTCCTAGTGACTAAGGCTTGAACAAGCTGAGAGATAAACAAATAACATAGTATCGGATATACAAAGAATGAAATAAATGGATACAAGTCCATACACGATGAGTCCATACAATACATGACATAAATAAATGGCAACAAACCTTTCTCACAAAGAATTCTATTTAATTTATGTAGGTAATCCCTCCTACAGGAGATGGAATCCCTTGAGGTAACAACTACCCTCTCCCCATGGGCTAGACTTAGTTACTTGTTTCTAAAGAACAGAATGCCGCAAGAGAAAAATAGTAACTTTACCACTAAGGAACCTATCAAACACTACTGCAACCAAGTTTCAACCAAGAGATGAAAGCTTTTATTACCAGTGATGTCACGTGGATATCATATACCTCCTGATACATGATTCGGGCACCTTATCTTTGTGGTATTCTACCTTATCTGTGCAGTAGTCTTTCTCAAAATCCATAGTTCCAGACTAATCATGAGAAAAACCCCAGACAAATCCAGATTGAGGAACATTATTCAGGATACCTAGATAGATGCCTCAAGATTGCCAAGGTCATGAAAGATGAGGAAAGAGTGGGAAACTGTCACAGACCACAGGAGACTGGGGAGACGTGGAAACTAAAGGCAATGTGGTACCCTGAATTGGATCCTGGAACTGAAAGAGATTAATGGAAAAACTGGTGAGATCCAAATAAATTCTAGAGTTTTGTTAAGGGGGAAAAAAAAAATCAGACTTTATAGTTCCACTTTTACATTCTGGCTCCAAATGAGTCTTCCTTTCTGAGTACTTTTGGAAGAATAACAAGTTAACAATTATTCATAATAATAGAGGAAAGGGTTTACAAATTTCATGACAAAGAATTATTTTGGTGTTACTCTTTTTTTTTTACCACTTGAAATATTAAAAACTATGCCTCAAATCATCCACAAAGGCCAAAGACTGAAGTTTCTAATCCTTTCTCTCTCTATATAAATAAAATTGTAGATAGAGCTTTGTAACAGATACCTTGATGATCTTAGTAAAAATTGCAAACTTAAATTATTTGGGAAAATGTATAAAATGTCTTACTAGCAGACTATGGGGTTCTGTAGAAAGAATCAAGTATTCATAGTATCTGGCACTGTAAGGCCTTCATTGTTTGCCTTATGATGGAGGTAAGGGAGGAGAATGAATTAAAAAAAAAAACCACAGTAAAATAAGCTCAAAAACATTACATGTAGTTTTTTGAAATTCTGCTTTCTATTCACATTTCATAATCACATCTGAGCCAAAGTTAGAGATCTGACCTCCAATCACTTACTAGAACATAGAACATAGCACATCTAGTAAAGAAACTTAGGTCAATTTAACTTATCTCACCTTCAGGAATAAAACGAATAGCTTGCTACTCAGAAGACAACTGAAATATTTACTGACAGAAGAGACTAGTACTTAGGGCTGTGACTATTCAGGGTTGTTCTGAAATACAGCGGTCCACTGCTCTTCAAACAAAAAAACCCATCAATGTTAAGCTATGACAACAAAGATTATTGTTTATATGAATCCCTTTCTATGTTTACTGCGGCAGGGATAATCATCCATAAAGCTCAGTTCCACCTAAAATTTCCCTCGGATTAAAACGGAAGTATCTCAGAATCTATCTAGGGCAGAAAACAAAGTTAACGTTCAAAATCTCACCCATCGTTAAACATTTCTGTTGACTTCCAAATACTCCATGGAGAACCAGACCGCCTCATGAGGCCTAATTTAATGTACTTTCACATGTTTCTGCTCTTTTCCTAGCTCTCGTGACACAGCCGCCCCCTCCATATTTCTGTTCTTAAGACATGTAAGGGGCGTAATGGCTGCAGCTGCCGGGCAACTGCGGCCTTCCTTCACACCTCTCTGCCCTGTCGTGGTTAGAATTCAGGAACTTCTCGAGAACCCAAGCTGCAGGCCAGGCGAGCGGACGGCTAAAGGAGAGTCGCAAACTTGCCCCTTCCTGCTCCCTCCACCTTCAGGCCGTCCCGCCCCAGCTCCCGCAGGCCCCTCGGGTTACCGCAGCCCGCTTCTTCCTCTCAGGCTACCACAGGCCTCCCCGTCGCCCGTGCACCCGCCTCGGCGTTCTCACACCACGCTCACCGTTCACCAGCGCCGGGGCCTTCTCCGCGAGATTACGGACAAATTGAGCCATGGTGCTAGAATGCAAAGACCGTCGCCCCGAAAGGCCGGCTGAATGTCACACTCCGAAAAGACCCGCGGCAGGACCCCGTCCCACTTCCAAGGTCAGGCCGCCTCTTTCCGTGCCTGACCAAGATACTCAGGTGTCCTACTATCTTTGCAAAATCCGCTTGGTCAATTTATTTTGTTCAGTCACGGAGGAGAAAGTGGATTTGAAAAGATGAGATTAGAGAGCATGTGAAAACCAGTGGGTTTCCGCATAGAAGCAGGCATTCTCGGGGCAGCTACTCGTGGAGGTCCGAAAGGCCGGCAAGGAAAAGAAGTGCGCATGCGCCCTGAACCTCCCGTGCTTTTCTTGGCGCCGACCTCCACTTTTTCATGTGGGGTGCTTTGGCAGGATTTCTGAGAACGTGGGAAGTCAGAACTGGAGGTGGTATCGCTGAGATTCTCCTACCTAGACCAACGCGATCGTTTTACGGTGGTAGAGAGGGTCCGAGGCCAAACATGTAAAGTCAGGGGCCGAGCAGGCACCACGCAACCTAAGTCACCAGACTCAGCCCATTGCCTTTCTTTAGCTGGTCTTTTGTAATTCCAGTGACCTTCAAATCTTGTTATCAGGATTGGAATCCAATTCCCCTAATTCCCTCACAGGCCACAAGGAGCTATGCAGATGTAAGAAACCAAGTCACTCTTACTGTGCGCCTCCAGTATGCTAGGCATTTTTGAATTTAAAGAAAGCCTGTGTGTTAGGTTTTGTCCCGGTTGAGAATGGGGTTGATAGCTAGGGAATGGCAGAATTGGGATGTGAAGAAGTCGCAATGTAAACACAGCGAGGGGACGTCATATTAGATTAGGCATGGTGCTGACCTGGGAAGACTTCCTAGAGAAACATCCTTGAATTGATGAATAAGAGAATGGCTATATACTACAGAAGGCTGAAACTTTGTAACTTGGTATGACTGGAAGAAAAGATGTATGTAGGGAAGTGGCATTTGATGAGAATAACAGAACTCTTCAGTATTGTATCCTGGGGAAGCCTTAGCAGAAGTAGAACTCCGCTTTATGGAATTGTTAGAGAGGTGGAAAAAGGTGGTATCAAGGAACCAAGCGCGTTTCAGTGAAGGAGTGAGTCAGCTGCCCCAGATACTGCAGAGAAGTCAAATTAAGGCTGGGAAAGTTAATTTAGCAATATGGAAATCTTTGACATTAACTAGAGCAGTTTCAAAACATTAGTATAGAATGGGTGAAGAAATATGGCTGTAAAGGAATACATGTCAGAAAACTAAATGGTGATGTGGAGAATTCATGGGAGAAATTGAAGATAGAGAAGAGGTATTGACAAGAGCCCTAATGAAGCAGGAAAGAAAGGTGGAGGAATTAATTAGCCTGGGATTGGTGGAGTCTTTTCTACAGATAGGATGATGGGAGAGAAGTGTGAAAATTGAGACTCTTTAAAGTCTTTATCTCCCAGTGAAGTAGAAGGCAAAATCATCTGAATGTGAAGGGTAAATGGGAGGATGGGAGAGAATTTGAGAAAAGAGGTTAAAGTTTGTAATAGCTATTGATTGATGTTAAGGACACACAGGATTGTTGGGCAATGTTAGAGACCACAAGTTTTTGGTTGCACATCTCAAGACTGCTGGTTTTCCCCCCCCAACAATGGTGTGTAGCTTGGATATTGTAGCAGAGGTGAATGGCTGGGTTTAGTCTGAGGTCTTGCATGGCAGGGGTATAGAAACAAGGGGCAGGAAAGGGGAACATGATAGCAAATGATTAAAAGACCTGGGGTTCAGGTCAGGTGAAGAAAAGCGAAGCCAAAAGGAAGCTGATTAGGAAAAACGGTGCCCTGAGATTCGTCTTCTGAGGATAACCCCAGGGTCCCCTCCAGCATCCTGGTAAGGCAGGTTAGGTCAGGCAGGTCACATATTTGATATTACCTACCTAAAAAAAAGTGAAAAGAGTCCTCTAGGTTTTCACAGGAATTTCTGAAACTGTCAATAGCTTTTAATACTATAATAAAGTGATAACAAAGGTCTTAAGTCAGGTGTTCATTTATTAAATACAAGTTTTGAACAAACACCTGCAGGCAAATTTGACAAGAAGTAACCTTCTTGGAATGTTCCCAAATACAGTTATGTTGATCAAGGTTTATTTCAGTCAACCTTTTTGTTGTTTTGTTCTTCATTTTCTTTGCTTCTAGGTCCTTTTCCTGTTTAGCAGTTAGAGCATGTGCATTATTTTCCTCACGTGACATCAACAGTGCAGCGTCAGTCTCTGGCTTGTAAAGGCACCCAGTAGACTTATGCTGTGTGCAATGGCTGCTTAGCAACCAGCATCAAATAAAGCAATGAAGCTTTTGTAGAGTGTGATACCAAATAGCAACTGGCACCTTGACCTGCACCATTAAAAAACCTTTGAAGTTTCCTTCAGTTTTCACATATTCATTAAAACGCTTGATAAAATCTACCTAAATAATTTTCCTAGTATTGGCTTCTTGGTAAGTTATGAACAATACCAGAGCTGATAAAAGAGTCTTCATTTTCCTATTGTACTCCAGCAAAGCCAACACATAAAACTAGGTATGTTAGAAGGTGTGCTCTAAGATTTAGAGCTGCTTCTGAATTCCAGACAAAAACACCTTTTTAAGCTTCCAAGTGCATATATACACCATGTTGTACCAAGATGATAACTTTTTAAAGTCTCATTTTTTGGATGTCCTTAACTTACTTCACAGAAAGAAAAAAGGCACAGAGGACACTTGGTTTCCTTACCAATAGTGGCCTTAAGCTATGCATTTGCCTTTGTGAAGAGTTTAAAGATATTCAGCAGCATTAATGGTGCCATAGCCATTCATAAAAACTTTCAGGAAAGAGCTTTAAAAAAAAAAATAAGAAAAGGAAACCTTGACGGGAAAGGCTTACAATCTGAAGGCGAAATACGAAAGTACAATACAGACAGACCCTAGAGGAAGCACAGAGGTTGTTAACTAGAAAGCCGCTGGGAACAGCTGCCTTCTGAGGTTTTGTGCCCATTTTCTTCCAATTATCTCCTGCAAAACTCTGGTCTTTCTCCCCCTTCTTTTTAAAACGAAAACATCCTACTAGATTGGGTTTGGAAGATAAATACAAGCAGGGAGAAGCTTACTTTATACACAGTTCATTCTCAGGGAAAGAAGGGTAATAAATATGAAATGAAACTCTTTAAGAAAACAAATTCTGTCAACCCATGCCTTAAAGGCCCAGGGAGCACACTGAATTAATCTTACATTCTGGCATTTGCATAAGTGTTCTAGACTTCCTTTTTCATTTATAAGCACAGAAATAGGCAATACCTACTTTTATATCTAGGGTGGGAAGCCCTCTTGGATTTGAGGTTTCTAGCTGATACCACCAAAAACATATCAAGGACTGCTTATAGCAACTTGTGTTGGAATATCATGAAACTACCATCTTATTTGAAAGAGGCCATGATTAACAAGTGTCCTCCAAAGAAAGCAATGACCCCTGTTTCTAGATCATGTCACTTGTCACTTATATCTCTGGGCTTAGATGGATAGTGATATAAAGGCAATCCATAGGGGAATGTGCCTCACTCAGCATGTTAAGCTGCACAATTGAGTAGGGAGCTCAAGCTTAACTTGTGAAAGTGGGGTCCATCCACCTATTGACTACACACGGTTAAGTGGATATTTAAAATGGCTTGTGGACAAGTTTGTGCTCAAATTCCTACTTTGTTAATTGATGACCTAAGGCTGTGTTAGAAGCAGCTCTTAGAAGTCAAGTCACAAGCCCAAACAAATATTAACTATATACATTTTATAGTCTCAGAGTAAGTATGTTAATAAACATGGCCACACACTGCATACCTCTTACTGTGGAAGAGACACTATAAAGTGGTACTCAGTTTACACTAGACCAATATAAAAAAACACATGGTGTGTGTATATATATCTCACACACCGAGATATACTATTGATATTAGTGTCTTAAAATTACATTTTTCATGGTTACAATATTTGTTGCTGAAATCTTCTACTCAGGCTTAGTCCTTGTAGCAACAGATTTTCCTAAGAGAAAAGGGGCCCAACAGCCTCCTCACCCCAGAATTTTTTTGACTGAAGTGTCAGAATGGTAAGTTTGCCCTACCAATCCTCATAAAAAGACTGCAGAGCTAAATTTTTGGTGGTGGCAACCCCATGAGAGAGTGTTTGTCTGAGATGGTGTCTCTGAGTTACAAGATAACACAAAATTAAGAGTTACCAACATAAGCTGCACAAGATTCCTTAAAACAAAACAAAACAAAACAAACAACTCACCTATTACCTTATTCAAAAGTATACACAAACTTCAAGGTACCTGTTTTTATGGGAAAAGTTATTCTCTAACATTACAGAACTGTAATAAGGAAAAGGGCTTAAGTTCAGATCATGAGGACTAGTAAATACATAGGATACACAGGATTTTCTGACGATATCAGCTGTCACTGAAATATTTGACATTGTATACTTAAAAGCTGTGCTCACCAAAAATGTTTGAGCAGTACTTGGAAGAGAAATAGTAAGGTGGCAGGAAATTTTAGTAGTTGAAGTCAATATAATTTAAGGTAGGAAAAGGAAGAATAGGAAGAGAAAACAAAGGGTGAAAATTAGTGATGATTTCTAAACTTGGTGATGCTATAATAAGTACAATTTCCTATAAGCCAGGGAAACATTGTCAAGTTCTTAGGAATATTAATTATCATAATTTGAACAAGAGCAGTTCTTTAATTTGGTAAAGGAAAAAAAAAGGGGGAAGAGAATCAGAAAGAGAAACCATAAACAATTGTTTATCTACACTCTGGGGTTGGTTTTTGGTTTGTTTAGTTCACAGCATTTATTCAAGTTGCTCCTTTTGTTGTTGCTTCCTCTCTGCGAGCCATCGCTGGATTTTTTCTTTTAGTTCTGTGTTTGGCCGGATCTGGTCCATGGTGAGGGGACTACGATTAAAGGGATCTGTTTGGTCACTGGGACAAAGAGAGAAAGGGAAATGGAGTTAATGCCATACGTTCTAACACCCTAAGCCTGTCTCTGTCTCACAAAAAAAAAAAAAAGATTGATTCAGGAGTTTCTTTTAAGCTACTTTGTCTGCCTCTTAGCAAACTTTATTTCAACATTGATGTTCAGATGATATTTGATTCCAGTGGCTTAAAAACATGCTATCCTTTTGTCACCAACCTTTAGATTGCTCTAAGGCAGAGACCCCATGCATTCATGTCAGTGTAAAGAACTATTTGTAGTTTTAGTGACAGATCCTTGAAACAGTATAAGATGTTAAGGGATAAAGCCTTGTAGGCTAACATTTGACTTAGCTGATTGCTATGCAAGTAAATGCAGATTATGGCTTCCTGACAGGTAAGAAGGTTTATGACATACTTTAAGGGCTGATATAGCTTCTCTCTACATTCTGGGGCCACTATAAAATATAAATTTTCACTGACACTTTGGAAAAGACTTACGACCTAGCACAGCATCATCTATATGGTGAATGCTTAATACTAAATACCATTAAGTAGAAAATTCATTTTTTTTTTTTTTTTTTTTTTTTACAGAGTCTCACTCTGTTGCCCGGGCTAGAGTGCCGTGGCATCGGTCTAGCTCACAGCAACCTCAAACTCCTGGGCTCAAGCGATCCTCCTGCCTCAGCCTCCTGGGTAGCTGGGACTACAGGCATGCGCCACTATGCCCGGCTAATTTTTTCTATATATTTTTAGCTGTCCAATTAATTTCTTTCTATTTTTGGTAGAGACGGGGTCTCGCTCTTGCTCAGGCTGGTTTCAAACTCCTGAGCTCAAACAATCCGCCCGCCTCGGCCTCCCAGAGTGCTAGGATTACAGGCGTGAGCCACCGTGCCTGGCCGAAAATTCATTTTTTTAAATTTAAAAATTTCATTAAATTTGGGCCAACTTATACAACTTAATTTTAAATATGCAGTGAGTCTCAGAATCCATTCCTATCTAATGCTGCACTTAAAAAAGCTAAATGGCTGCTTAACTAGCTAATAAGCTACCATTTATTACTTCATTCCTGTCTTTTTGGTAGATATCAGGGCAGACTGTTCAAAGAGCAGGCAGGCTAGGGAAAATTCATGGTTACCATGGCTGAGTACAATGACATGGTGAATATAGTGTAAAACCTGAATTAAAAAAAAACTTTGTCTTTTATAGTTCTACAACTAAAAGAAAATTAAAACAATTTCAGGGCTGGGCGCACTGGCTCATGCATGTAATCCTAACACTCTGGGAGGCTGAGGTGGGAGGATCACTTGAGCTCAGGAATTTGAGACTAGCCTGAGCAAGAGACAGACCCCGTCTGTACCAAAAAGAAAGGGAAAAAAACCCCCAGCCGGGTGTCATGGCGGCATGCACCTGTAGTCCCAGCTACCCAGGAGGCTGAGACAGAAGATTGCTTAGAGCCCAGGAGTTGGAGGTTGCAGTGAGCTAGAATGACACCACTGCACTCTATCCAGGGCGACAGAGTGAGACTCTGTCTCAACAAAAACAAGTAAGGCAACTGAGCACTCCTCCTCACAACCCCCAACCCCTTTAAAAAATAAATAAATAAATATAACAAAAAACAATTTCAGGTCTACTTATACTCTATGTTGACATATTTTATAACATATTGACAGAAATTATTTTCTTAAGGAAGAGGTGAGGTTAGAGCCAGCATTTTGCAACACTGTTTTGCTTTGAATGTTTAAATTCCTAACAATCAAATGATATCAAAATAGCTCCCAACACATCAATAGTATGAGGCACCTACTAGATACAAAGCACTGTAGTAGGCGTCTGGCTGAAAAAGATGATAGCAAAGTAACATACATCTGTGCTCTTGAGGCTGCTTTTCAGGACTGGCATACCTGAGCAAATGTCTGGCAATAGTGGATCTATCCACAGTGACTCTGGAAGATGGCAGCACCACAGGGTCACACATCAGTGTGCTCATGATGGGATCCAGGAATTCATCACAGGCATCTGCATAGGTCTCCTCTTCCTGTTGTTGGAGGTCTGCAAGAGACTGAGCACATAACACCTGGTAGTTAAAGTCAATTCACAGTGTAGTAGCTAAATTCAGAAAGTTCAATGAGTATATGTTAATCTTGGTCATTAATAACTCTTGACAGTGATAATGAAAAACCTTAGCTTTATTTTCTCAAAAACGAGCCAAAGTAGATAGTCCAGGAGCAAATTCAGCATTGAGCCCCAACTCTGAAATTTCAAGTTGACAATTATAACTGGAAATGGGTTTAAGTGTTAGCAGGAAAAGAAATACACCACATATGACATTCTTCTGGCAACAAGTCTGTTGTAAATGCCGTAATTCAAAAAGAGATGGGGGTGGGAGGGTCATAATTTGCGTAAGTAGAGTCACTCGTGCAGTCTGTGTATGAAAAGCAGTTTACAATTTTTGGTACAAACAGGCATAGCAATTTATTTTATTTATTTTTATTTTTAGAGACAGGGTTTTGCTCTGTTGCTCAGGCTGGAGTGCAGTGCAGTGGTGTGATCATAGCTCACTATAGCCTTGAACTCCTGGGCTCAAGTGATCCTCTTGCCTCAGCCTCCTGAGTCTCTGGGATTACAGGCATTAGCCACCGTGCACAGGAGTTTAACACATTAACTGCCATGTGAGTTGTATGTAACTCATGCTAGTTTTGAGTCTGGGGCCTCGTAAAGCAAAACCTGGGCAAAACCCTGCAGCTGGTTTGTGAAATCTTACTTGTTGATATTCTTATTGTTACAACTAATATTGACATTTTAATTCTAAAAATGTGGATTAAATGAATAGAAGTCAATAAATTCTGTTTTTCTATTTGTGTTTACCTTTAAATTACACTTAAGCCTGACAAGTCAAGAAAAACACTTTACCCTTATGAACTATTTTTCAAGTTTTCACATTAGTTTTTACATTACTAATTTTCAAGTTTTTATATTACTTTTTTATTGATAAAACACAGAAAACAATAAAAATAACAAGTTTTTCATTAAATTAGAAAGGATCATTTTGTTTTTGAAGTTTTTATTCTATTTTCATAATAAAGCACCACAGCCCCAAGGAAAATAATTTTTTTTTTTTAGTGTGTCAGTCAATGTGTTAAAAAGTGGCTTCAATGTTTGATTCCTTTACAATTCTAGTTTCTCAGGGGTCTATCTATGTGGCTAAGCTCTAGGCGAAGATGAAGCCCAACTCAATAAAAAAGAAACTCAATGAAGGAAAGACTGACAGCAATAAGGAAGGTTTTCTTTTAGACTTCCGTGCCATCATTTTCCCTTCTTCTTAACTGCTAATGGAGCTCTATCATACTCCAACCAAAGGGATTAGCTGAATACAATACAGTATTTTAATCTCTGAAATGTATGCATATTTCAATATAAGCCAACTATCAACTACGAATATAGAAAACAGAGAAAATGAATAAAAATCAGTGACTGAAACTATTAATATTCATCTTGAATTTTACTCTAAAAAGTTCTTGTGCATTAACATCCTAGATTTTCAAATCTATTGATAACACTGTGCATAAGTTCATAAAACCAGCCTGCATAAATGTGAACATTCTTCTCTTTTAGTTGAAGCTTTTTAAATTTCTGTTCTCACTCTCATGTTAAAAAGAACAGTAAGAATATGGTAGTTCTAGTTACTGAATGACCAGGAGGAATCATCTGTTTATATTTTCTCATGGCAATGCTCTTTTTCTCCCTGAAACAGGGTAAAAAGCAATACAGCTGAGTTGACAATGTGATTTTTATTCAACATGTTAGCAAATAAATTCTCCTCTTCCTTACCTTGATTTTCTCTGCTAAGTTATTGAAAGCCAGAATCATATTCCCAGGCTTATTTATTTTCTTCAGGACTCGAACTGTCTGTGCAAAGAGAGTTGGGGAATAGGAACGTCCATCCTTGGGCACAGCAGCACAGAAATTCTCCTCATCCCTGGAAGGTCAGAATCAGAAAGAAACTGAGCACCAGATGGGAGACAACACATGCGTTGCAGAACAAGAATTCTCATTACTCATAAGCCAACACATCCTTTTGACATAAAAATACTTCTAATTTTCTAAGAAGGAAGTCTATCAAGTATCCCATGGCCTTAAAAGATTATTATTTTCCAAACAATGTTACAATCAATAAAGTTTACCTTTGCACAGATCAAGGCAAAATGTTAGAAATCCCAGTAAATAATGTCCCACAAGTCATACAAAATCTTATTTAAAACTACAGACCATTCATTCCTTAATTAATCAACTAGAAATGAATCATTTCTTTTCTATTAATACATTATTAGCAACCAGTCACTTTACTATCAAAACCCCAAATCAAAACATTAGCACATCCCCTCTGGCTTGCCCAATTCCAATCTCAGGTACCCAAGATTTAAGTAGATAGTGCAGATATCTGATACAAGCTGCTGAGGTTTGAAGTCAAATTCGCTGAAGTCTTTGACTTTTAAGGCCCCCATCTTGGGGCCAACCAAGTGCTGCAGGAAGTAGTTCAGCATGGAAATGATGCGCTCAGCCAGGAAGGGATGCACAAAGAGTGATCTGATGTCTGGAAAAGAAACCAAAGTCTGTGAAAATGCAATCCATTAGCAGTCTTTTACTAATTATGTCTAGTTTACTTGGAGACCTCTGGAGACTACTATTTTTTTTATTACACAAGTAATGGATAAAATATAAACTGCATAAAATATAAACAAGCAAAATCCCCAAACAAAAAAAGGAAAAACAAAAACTACCACCCAGAGATAAACATTGTTAACCACTGTTAACATCTTGCTATATATCCTTCTAGCTTTTCTGTCCATATTTACACATATAATTTTTTTTTTTTTTTTGTAACATGTTATCGCTGTTGCCCAGGATGGAGTGCCATGATCTAACCATAGCTCAATCATTACTATAACCCTGAACTCTTAGGTTCAAGTGATCCTCCTACTTCATTCTCCCAAGTAGCTGGGACTATAGGCACATGCCACGATGCCTGGCTAATTTTTATTTTTTATTTTATTTCATTTTATTTTTTTTACCTCTCACCCCTATTTTTAAAATTTTTTGTAGACGCGGGGTCTCACTATATTGCCCACCCTAGTCACGAACTCACATGCATTTTTAAAACAAAATGATTGCCACATTGTACATATTCTGTAGCTTACTGTTTTCAATAACTATATCATAAATATCTTACCATTTTGGTGAGTACATGTCCTTGTGCTGTCCAACATGGTAGCCACTGGTCACATGTGGTTATTTAAATTAATTAACATTAAATAAAATAAAAATTGAGTTCTTCAGTCACACTAACCACATTTTAAGTGTTTAATAGCCACATGTGGCTAGTAAGTACAGTACTGGACAACCCAGATTTATAGAACATTTCCACCATTTTAATTGCTGTATAGTTTTCCAATTGTAATTGCACCATTAGTTATTTATTTATTCTGTCTTTACTGATAAACTTTTTGACTGTTTTCAATTTTTTCCTATTATAAACATTTCACTTATTGATGAACTTCATTGTGTAGACATCTTGTAGATCACTTCTTTGCAACAAATTTGTAAGGAATTGCTAGGTCATACAGCATGAACTCCAAAAATTAAAAAAAAAATATATATGGAAAGTTTAGCAAGCCAGAGAATATGGTAACTCTTGCTTAGTACTGCTAGTCATTGATTTTTCATTTTAGTCATTATCTATTGACTCTACTGTAGATGATAGTTTAGCTCTCACTTCCTGTCCTTGTTCCTCAAATACAAATGCCCCCAATATGTAATCCAATTTTTGGCTAAATAGAGCTTATGTCATTAAAATTATGTAAGTACCATTCACAGCAGAGCCACATGGTGTCCTAATGATTATATAGTTCCTTTTTAATATAACTTTTTGCTTTTCTGTTTATTTTCAGAGTACCTATCACTAAATCCTTTCCAAACTCTCCACCAGAATTATAAAACTCTCAATATAATCATTTCTAGTTGCTCATTAATTTTTGGAAACATTCCTTCTGGAAGTTTCCATCCTTCATTCCCATCTGGACTGCTTGCTCCACAGGTCTGCTATGTAGTGATCACATACGTTCCTTCTACCATCATCCTGGGAATTTCCTTTGTGTCTCCCTTGTGTTGGATTCCACCTTCCTCCTCCTGGGTTTATTTTCCCTCAGAAATGTGTCCCAGCTTCCAACGTCACTATTGCAAAGTCATTTTGATACTTAAACCGTGGTACATAACCTGACTTTTCTATGGACCTTTTAGGATCTTCTCTTTACTGTGATTTCCTGAAATGTCACAACTTGTAACTTAGTGTGGGTTTTAAAAACTCTGTGCAGGGCACTTGAAAGCCTCTCAGGCTGTCCTTAAGTCTTGGGAATTTTTTGGTATCATTTCTTTGATAATTTCCTCCCTTCCATTTTTCTCTTTTGAGAATTCCTACATCTGTCCTTTATCTTCTTATCCTTTCTCTTCTAATTTCTATCTCTTTTTCTTTCTGTTCTACTTTCATCAAAGAGTTCCTTGAACTGATCTTCTTTTACTGAATATTTAAAATTTCTGAAGTAAAATTTTCAATATCTAAGACCTCTTGTTCTTTATATAATCCTTTTTATTGCCTGTTTGTTCTTGTTTTGTGGCTGCTTTATCTTCTCTTATCCCTCTGAGATTATAAAGTTTCTTTAAAAAGTTTTAAAAAAAAGTTTTCCTCTATTATCTGTTTCAAATTAGAGGATTTCCTCAAATGTCTGGTGATCATTGGTTGTTATATATTAATATTTAGCTCAGACACTAAAAATGACCATTTCAATATGTAATCAATATAAAAATTATTGAGATATTACATTCTTTTTTTATGCTAAGTCGTGCAGTGTGTGTTTTATAGTATATCTTATAGCACATCTCCATTCAGCCCAGGCACATTTTAAATGCTTGATAGCCACATGTGGCCAGCAGCTATTGAACTGGACAGTGCAGCTCTAGAGGGAGTGGAGATAAATGTTTTTGTTAGATCCACCACATTTAACCAGGATTCAAGCATATTTTTCAGACTGACATACATGTATATTACTTATATGTGTGTGTGTGTGTGTGTGTGTGTGTGTGTGTACACACACGCATATACTTATATGGCTCGCTTGTCTTCCAGAAAGATTTTACCAACTTATGCTTTTCTGGCAGCTGTGTGAGGGTGACTATTTCCTCATTCCCCTGTCAACAATGGGCATCATTGTTCTTTTTGAAGCTTCTCAAATGATTTGTTTCCCTCTCAGATGTGGAGGATACTGGCACCAGAGTCTGAATTCTTAGTTTCAGCTGGGCTGATCCTCTAAGTGAAGCAGATCTTGGCCATTACATTTTTTTGGGAAAGCAGTACTTCATGTCTTTACCTGATGTTAGAAAGGCAAGGGTACCAATTGTTTCGTTGGACATGATGTTATGGAAACGTGCCAGCTGTCCAAACATCTGTAGGCCAGCCTCCTTCTCTCGGCGGGCTTCTGGAGTCAGACTATCCCATTCACCTCGGTCCTTCTCAATCTGCTGAATCTTTATCTTGCTCAAATACTATAGAAACCAGAGGTGGGATACATCAGAGAAGAAAGTACAATTGAAGGGACACGACATTTAAGAGGTCCTATTCAAAATCCAGTCAACTAAGCTGAGAGTGAAGCTTAAAAAGAATTTTTGGAAAAAAAGAAATTGTGGCTTCATACAGATTTGTTTCAGCTTGTGTAGGCTCAAAGATAATTCCCATAGAAATAGTATAATATTGTAAAATAGAAAAGAGGATTAATAGTATATGAAACCCTTGGCTGGGTGCAGTGGCTCAGCCATATATATATATCTAATCCCAGCATTTTGGGAGGCCAAGGCAGATCACTTGAGGTCAGGAGTTTGAGACCAGTCTGGGCAGCACAGCGAGACTCCGTCTCTACAAAATATTTTAAATATTTTAGCTGGACATGGTGGTGCACACCTGTAGACCCAGCTACTCAGGAGATTGAGGCTGGTTGATTGCTTAAGCCTAGGAGTTGGAGGTTGCAATGAGCTATGATGATGCCACTGCACTCTAGTCTGGGCAATAGAGCAAGATCCTGTCTCAAAAAACAAATAAACAAAGACAAAAAAAGTATATGAAACCCTGACACCCCCAACCCCACAAAATAGGCTACAGTGAAAAAAGGATAAAGGATGAATCCTACCTGAATGATGAAACCAAGCAAAACACTGCTTACCAAAAACTAAAGCTCTATCAAATATCCAAGATGGTTGGAAGGAGAACTGTAATTATTTAAAGCTCTCTCTCTCTCATCATCCTTGCTGTTATAGCAAACGACTTGTTAAACTTATCATCTCATGAAAATACCATCTGCTTCATTCTTTGTGCCATACAGCTCTTGCTTAAAAGGGTCTGTTTATAATAGGACCTGTTCTCATTTTCAAAGAAAACTGATCTTAAATCTTGAAATGTAGGATTATGAAAAAAGCAGAAAATCAAACCTTTCTCATAAATTATATACGAGTTACTCAGGGGATTGCTAACCAATAAGAGAAGCTTATGAATGTCCAACAGGCTACCCTAAGGATTTACTTGCTTCATCTCCCTTTAGGTCAGTGCCCTATCTATCTTATAATCATCACCCAGAAGGGACATTTTGCTCTACGGGCAGTCAAGTTTTCACAGGAGCAATAAGCAGTTCCATAAGGGATGGTTAAGGAAATGATACGTTGAAGGGGATCAATGATACGCTGAAGCACTCAGCTGTATTTTACACCTTGTGAAACTCATGTTTTACAATATAGCTAAGGACTTAGGAGGCAGTGGATAAAGGGTATGGATGACCTTGAGCCTTTGTATGAAAAAATAACCCAAACCAGATTTTTTTTTTTCAAATAGTGGTGCAAAAATCAGAATTGTTTAGGACAGTGGGTTAAAAATCATTGTCTTAGTGAGCTGAGCCACTTTATTGACTTGTTGAGATGGAAAAAAGTTGAAAGTCACTGACCAAAAGCAAGATCCTAATTTCTTTCTGTAGTGCTGGCCTGATTAGCTACTCCTGCCAGTGAACTTTAGTTTGGCTTCATCATACTATCTTTTCGACTCTCTGCCAAAGTATCCATCCTAGCCCATGAGGCTTCAATGACCCTTGACCTTGGTCTCTAATGGAATAACTTAGAAAGCTCTGTAATGTAAGCTTAGAGGTATGCTACTAATCACAAATTTTTGGTGTTCAAGACTGGTACTAGGGGAATAAGGATTGCTCTATTATGATTAAAAGGTAAAAAGTAGGTACTGATGATGATTTGATGGTATGGGGCAATTTTTTTATTTTTTATTTTCTAATTTTTTACCTGTATGGCTTCATCCAAAAGGAAGATGGCATCATTCATTAGCAGGTTAAGAAAGCGGAGGAAAAGTGGAGGATTCATGGCTTCTAGATTCTTAGAGGCAAAGTCAGCCAAATCCTATAAGTCCCAGCCGAAGAGAAAACCATTTTAGTACTGAATCACAACTCACAGGGCTTATATGAAGCAACTGGTTTCACCAAAAACTCTCTCACCTTAATGCTCTCCCGATAGGTATCTGTCCCCCACATGTATCTTAGGATGGGATACATGGGACGGCGGTAATTAAACTTCTGTTCAAACTGATGGGGGTCTCCTGGAGTAAGGCAAGAGCAAAATATCAGCAAAGATGGTACCATTAGAGTAAGAGTAAGAGCTTATGCCTATGTGTAGTCATTTTCTTTTATTTTGAATGTGTCAAGGCTGCTTGCAAAATCTGCACTGGGAATTTCTAAAGGCCTAAAGTTGTGGCCAAATGTTTGCTCATTTCCTTACTGACAGAGGAAGAGTAGACAGTATAAAGAATACCTTACTCAGCAAGGGACAAGGACCAAGCTGTAAAATAAAGTCCAAGGGTGCTTCCACATCCAAACATGGAGTACTTATTAGACTCTGAATGAGGCCTCTGGGCTGGCCATTGTGGCAGTGAAAGCCACATGCAGAACGGGACACTAAGTAATCCCCACATTCTTCATAGACAATATTCCAACTGTGTAGCCAACTGGTTCTTGATTACTCTGAAAAATCAGATCAGGAGCTAAAAATCTAAGGCTTATACTGCTTTTGAAACACCAAAGGTATTATTAGAGCTCTACAGGCTGGGTCATATAATAAAGGAAGAGTGTAGGATTCGGAGTCAGAAGACCTAGGATTTCATTCTGGCTTTGCTTAATGCAAGTCTCTTAATTAACCTTTTTCAACTTCTACTCCCTCAGCAATAAAAGAGAAATTGTACTATGTTACAATTTCGTTGTTTGTATGGTCACATAAGGAGATAATTATAGCAATTTATTGTGCAACTCCTTACATATTATAAAGATTTACATGCACTATTTCACTTAATCATCACTTCGATCCATTTACAGATGAGGAAACTAAAGCTCAGAGGTGAGCAAGTGACAAAGCCAGAATCCAAATATGGAAAGGCAGCCAGTAAAATGTTAAATGTCTCTTGTTAAAGTGTTAGTTGTATTTTTCATTGGATGGAAGATCCCCTTTAAAAAAAGGTCTTAAAACAACTGCTTAACATATCTTGTTTACTGGTTGATATAAGGTACTATTTAATTAAACATAGGGGCTCAGGGTTGGAGGGAAAGGGAATGTTGCCTGCTGGTATTCTTTTTTTATTTTTTTTGAGACAGAGTCTCACTCTGTTGCCTGGGCTAGAGTGCCGTGGCTTCAGCCTAGCTCACAGCAACCTCCACCTCCTGGGCTGAAGTGATCCTACTGCCTCAGCCTCCCGAGTAGCTGGGACTACAGGCATACGCCACTATGCCCGGCTAATTTTTTCTATATATACATATTTTTAGTTGTCCAGATAATTTCTTTCTATTTTTAGTAGAGATGGGGTCTCGCTCTTGCTCAGGCTGGTCTCGAACTCCTGACCTTGAGCGATCCACCCGCCTCAGCCTCCCAGAGTGCTAGGATTACAGGCATGAGCCATTGTGCCCGGCCCTGCTGGCATTCTTTTTTTTTTTTTTTTTTTTTTTGAGACAGAGTCTCACTCTGTTGCCTGGGCTAGAGTGCCGTGGCATCAGCCTAGCTCACAGCAACCTCAAACTCCTGGGCTCAAGTGATCCTACTGCCTCAGCCTCCCGAGTAGCTGGGACTACAGGCATACGCCACTATGCCCGGCTAATTTTTTCTATATATTTTTAGTTGTCCGATTAATTTCTTTCTATTTTTAGTAGAGACGGGGTCTCGCTCTTGCTCAGGCTGGTTTCGAACTCCTGAGCTCAAACAATCCGCCCGCCTTGGCCTCCCAGAGTGCTAGGATTACAGGCGTGAGCCACCGCGCCCGGCCCTGCTGGTATTCTTAATCTAACAATTAGACAGTTAGAGAGTTACACAGTCTGGTTAAGATAAAGGAATCTCTCAATCAGTACACTTATTATTCACTATTCCATAATTTTGAGGCAGAGAAAAATAAAGACCCAAGTTTTAATCAGCCTAATATGACTTGACCAATAAAGCTGATAAGAGTATCTAGGTTTTTTATTTTTTAGGTGAGATAGACCTGGCTTTACCACTTATTAGAATGTATGACGTGGACAAATAATTTAATCCTTTTGAGCACCCATGTATTCATATGTAAACAGGGATAATAAAGTAAAACTTTTCAGATGGTAACAAATTAATGGATAATGTAAAAAAAGCACTTAATCAAGCATCAAGCCTGGCACATAATAGGTTTTCAATAAATGACTGACATTTCTCTGATGCTCAAATATTGATCAAGCTATGAAACTCCACTGAGAAACTCCACTTCTCAGTTTTGGACCTGACGTCATGACTGCTTTACCTGTAAACTCAATGTCCACAAAAACCTTGATGAGAGCTTCTGCAAGTTGGGGTGCATATGGAAAATTGCAGAACACACGCTTCCGATGGAAAACACTGGATACTAAGGGATTTGGAGTCTGATCCATGTGGGGCATCACTGCTTCTAACACTTCAGCTAGTTTGGCCCTTAGGTGGGGATTCTTCATTCTGCAAAATGGGCAAAAAGCAAGGAGCAGGTAAACTGAACCCGAAATTTCTGACTCCGTTCTTACCAAATGAAGAGCCCAAACCATTGTATACCATATACGGGAAAAAATAGGATACATTTCTGCAGTTTTAAGTTTGTCCATTATTGGTGGGGAAACATCATTTAACTCTTGAGATGACAGCTAACCAAGTATGAGGGTGAGTTTCTATTGAATGCTTAGTCATTCTGTTCACTTCTCTACAATAACGCATTATTTGTTGCTCACTATTCTCTGACAGTTTCATCTGGGATAAATTGCCTTTCCAAGCTTTCTCTGAGGGTAGAGACTAGGATATAGTCATCCTACATTACCTACAATGCATACAGCGTTTGCCTAATAAATACTTGTTGATTTACCACTTCTCATTGGGTCTGCTCAGCTCAGTGAAGGATTGGCTTCTCTCTACTTCTCACTTATATGGCTCGGGGAACTGTGGGTCATTCTCTTCACTGTGCAGCAAATCTTCACTTTTGTACACAGAGTTTCTGTTTCCTTTAGCCTACGCACCCCCAAAAATCAGGGAAGCAATTCTACAAGTCACAGTATCTTCGTTTGGGAAAGAGGACTAGAAGATATGAGTGAGAAGACTTGAGATGCAAAATAACACTGACCTAAGTTTACTGCTCATCCAACTCAGAACACCAAGAACGAGCTTTGTTATCATATAATTATTAGAAGATCATTAGCATCTGGCTGCTACTGGTACGGTTTCTGGCATTATGGCAACTATTAATATGTTAACCAGGGACTAGCAGTGGAATTCCCATCAGGTACCTTATATGCAGGTTCAAATTCTCTGTGGGCAAAGTCCTTTGCTTATTATGCCTTTCAATAGTGGGATTTTTGGTTACCCATAAGGATGGTCAGGTGATTCATTAATGTTAACATAACTTCTGAAGGCAACCCCTGATGATCCAGGCTTGTTTATTACTTGGTTTAGAAGGTTCCTGAATGTTTTGCAGCTCTAAAGAGTGACAGAGCCAAGCTTTCAGTACTTCACCTTTCTACGCTTCCAGTGAAAATGGTAATAAAGTGAAGGACATGCTCCAGGGAATCTGCTGATGTCTCCAAGATGTCATCGGCAAATCGGCGTAGAAAAATGAGGAAATCACCCAGGTTATCTGCAAAAAATTCTGAGAAAGAAAATATTCACTGGAATTAGCCAAATATTTGTCTATCTGTACTAAATAACATTTAAATTCCTCCCTTTCACCCTATTTGATGAAGGTTAAAAAAAACCCAAATGTCTTGTCGGTTCTAGAGATGTTGATAAATTAATAAGTAATAAATGTAGAATCTTCTTTAAATGTAAGTTAATTTTAATCTTTATCCAAGTAAATATATGAACATTCGGAATGACATAAAATATTGTTAACATACCAGTATACTAATATATTAATATATTTTGTTGACTCTCAAGGTTAACTGTAAACAGCAGTTTTAAGTTTTAGATGTCTAAAGACTCACTAATAAAGATTAATACATTATATGACCGTGGTACCCAGCCTCCAGTTTGGTCCTCCATCGATCCTTGCCTCCTGGTATTGATTTCTTTGCATAGTCCCCTCCTATGCTCTTTTGGGGTAGAAGATACACCTTGAGGTGCAGAAGTGATGGTGTGTCATTTCCAACATTAGGTTATAAAAACTTACAGCTTTGATTTTGGTCACTTTCTCTGGGGGATGCCAGCTGCCATATCATTAGTACACATGTGGCCTGGAAAAGAGGTTGGTGGCCAATAGCACAAGCTACTGAGGCCTGTCAACAACCACATGACTGGGCTTGTAAGTGGATCCTCCAGCCCTAGTCATGTCCTTAGATTCCTATGGCCTTGTCTGACAGCTTGGCTGCAACCTCCTCAGGGACTCTGAGTTAGAACAATGCAGTTGAGTGCACCTGGATTCCTGACCCACAGAAACTGCATGAGATAATATTTGTAGTTTTAAGCTGCTATGTTTAGGGGTAATTTGTTACAGAGCAACATATGACCAATACAATTAAGAACGTGTGACCTGATCTGACTGACAACACCTGCCAACCCCTCACTGACATACATATACACACAATCTCCCTTCTGGGTTAACCAACAGGAGATGATTTTTTTTCTAAAAAAGCACAGGGAGAGTTAGATACATTTATAAGTGGAACAAATAATATAATGATAGAAACTAACAGCTCTGAAACTCTTGACTGCACTTAATCCTTTCGAGACTATTTTCTGAAAGCAATGGGGACACAAGGCTGAGAATACATTGTTAGTCCCCCAAAACTCTGACTAGTAGGTATTATCTACAAGTTTGAGTTGTTTCTCCAAAAACAATTGAACGATAACTAAGGAAGGGTATTTTGAGGACTAAACTTCCAAAGAGACCCAGTTAAACTTAGATGCCTATAAATAGGAAGCTCCCAAGGGAAAGCCTGCTTACCTGGCACATAAGCCAAAGAACTGTAGCCATCTGGCAAAGGAAAAGTTAGCTCTATTGGCTGTGAGCCCTCATTGCCTATGGCCAATTGAACCAGCAGTACAGCCATGGACACCTGCAAATTTAGGCAGTTTTGTAGCATCTGTGGCTCAGTCATGGCAGTCTTGGTAGAAAGATAGATGGTCATCAGTCGTTCAAACTGCTCGCGGAGATTGTCAGCAGCAGGGCTAGAGCTTTGCTGAGCGTCCCGCCAGGCAACCTGCAGCCGATGCAGATTTTGGTTGATCTTTACCATCTGATCATGCAACCTGCCCCAAGAAAGCAGAAGAGACTGGGTCAGGGAGGCTCCTATGGGCACAGAAAAACAAATCCTTGTGTATTTATTCTAGTATTCTCTTTAAGGATATAGGGAGTTGCAGTTGTAGTGGCAGAGAAGGCACTCGCAAAGTTTTTGACAGGACAGAGGCAGGGCCCATAGCACTGGGAAAATGTTACTAAGTATTCAACATAATTGAAGCTACTTGCAGATAGTTAGCAGACTTCAGCTGAAATGTACTATCCAAAGAATAGTAGCTTGGGTGAGCAGGGTATAGAGTGGGCTGTTATTATGTAAAATAAATAATTATTAGGCAAAGTGCAAGGAGCCAGCAGGATAGTTTTACACCAGGCAAGTGCAGAGATCATACTTTGATGGGATTATATGGATGGTCTTTCTACAGTTAGTAGAAACTAAGCTGGTGAAAAGGGACTCTATACATTAGTAAGGACCACATATGAATTAGTAGCCACCTGGGATACAACCTAAAAGCAGCTTCCAGCTCTTTGTTGTTCAATATAACACTGTATTAAGGCCGGGCACGGTGGCTCATGCCTGTAATCCTAGCACTCTGGAAGGCTGAGGCGGGAGGATCGCTTGAGGTCAGGAGTTCGAGACCAGCCTGAGAAAGAGCGAGACCCTGTCTCTACTAAAAATAGAAATAATTAGTCAGGAACTATTAAAAATAGAAAAAGTTAGCCAGGTGTGGTGGTACTCGCTTGTAGTCTCAGCTATTCGGGAGGCTGAGGCAAGAGGATTGCTTGAGCCCAGGAGTTTGAGGTTGCTGTGAGCTAGGCTGACACCATGGCACTCTAGCTTGGGCAACAGAGCAAGACTTTGTCTCAAAAAAAAAAAAAACCATTGTATTATTCTTCACAAAAGAGCCAAACATTCTCTGCTTAAAGGAAGACCCATAACTCAAAGTTACGGATAACTGTTTCTATGTGTATAGTCCTAAAATCATCTCCTTTGGCCCTATAGAGAATGTCTAGTGCTAGCTAGTCAATATTGGGAAACTAGATGACATTCATTTTTGTGTTTGAAACCAGATGGTTGAGCAGGTTAAGCACATGTTGAACTTTTATCTATTGTCTCATTTAAAATGTCTATGATGGGGATAGAAAAACTTTTTTTAATAAAGGTATGATTTCATTTTTCTATTAATTTGCTGAATGAGCAGTTTTGAAAAATGCGCGTCAATTTAAGTATCTTGAAAAGCATTAAAAATTATACCCCTTCTTATAGACTGTAATTATGACTGAGTTGCTATTTTCTCCCCTTATTTATAATCAGCTAAATTAGAGGAAAAAAATTTATAGAATGTGTGGCTAGCCAGAACCATTTTTGGAAGTCATATACTCAAGTTTGCAAATCTTCACATTTTTAGAATCTTCTTTATCTTATATGCACAGATCTTTTGTGGTCCTACTGATCTCACTGGAATCCCCAATAAACATTTTCTTAATTTTTGCCAATTTGTCTCTATACTATAGAGTAGAGCTTAGTCTTTTTTTCATCAGGAGTAGTAAGCAGAAAGAGCAGAAAATGAAATATAAAATGAAAACAATTCTACTTTCCAGATGACAACAGGAACATAGTGATTTAAAAATTTGCAAATGTAGAGAAAACTACTAGTGTATCTTTAATTTTAAAAAGTTAACATATAGAAAGTTAAAAACAAATTTAAGTAATCTGGACAAAGCCAATTCACGTAAATGCAAATAAATTCATACAAAGACCTTTTGCTTCTAGATTCTAATGTGAATCTTTAGAAAAAAGTGAGAATATATCTCTAAGACCCCCTTTCAACCTTGTGGTTATCAACACAACTCAATAGTTCTTTCCTAATGACATCAAAGGGGTTACCTGTGAAATCCCAAGTACAAAGTGTACTCGGTCAGGGCAAGGTTCTCTGTTACAAGGTTGTAGTTTTGGGGAAACTTCGGCTCCTGCACAGCTGGGATCAAACAGGTTTCTTTGTCCAAACCTCAAAGAAGTTAAAAGGAAGAATAAATGGCTTGCCACAGACATCTATCTACCTTGGTTTCCAGTCTCCCCTCACTCTCGTTTAACTTCCACACTACTACCAGTGATATCTTCTTAAAAACAAATCTTGTCACATTAATTCATTGTCTAACAACATCTTTTGGCTTCTGTCTACAGAAATACAGTTAATACTCTTTCACTTAACCACAAAATCACCAAAAATGAAAAGGAATAATACTGTAGATTTTTTCATATATTAGGCAATGGATCATTTGCATTCATTCTGTGCCTTTTCTGTATTTAAGATTGTTTGTTTTTGAACAGGTATCACATTTATAAGAAGAAGAGTTATAAAACTGGAAGAAAATATACCAAAATTAAGAGTGATCCACGTCAGTGGTAGAACTGAGTCATTTATTTTCTTTTCACTTCTCTGTATTAAGTTTTTTCTAATCCAGTCCCAACTGCTTCCTCCCCAGACCCATTTCCTCCACTTCCTACCTCCTACCTACCCCTGCTCTAGCCACACTGAGCTTCTCACTAATACTCAGTCAAGACTTGCCAGAGCTTTCTACCTTTATACTTGTTCTTCCCTCTGTATAAAGGGACTCTCTTGCTCCTTTGCCTGGTAAAATGCACCTTGTCTTTCAAGACTCAGTTATGGAGATTTCCAACTTCTGCAGAATTGATTATTTACTCCCTCCTCTGTGCTCCCACAGCTTAGCCCTATACCATATTATAATGATCTGTTAATACATTTGCCTTCTTCTGGAGCCTCTGAGTTCAAAAAGGATGGAGACTATGCTTTATTAATTTTTATAAAGAATGAGTGAATGAATGAATACTCAAGGCTGCCAAATCCAGAGAGAAGGTCTCACTAGAGCACATTTAAAAGCTACCTGTTGGGCCGGGCGCAGTGGCTCATGCCTGTAATCCTAGCACTGTGGGAGGCCGAGGCGGGTGGATCGCTCAAGGTCGAGACCAGCCTGAGCAAGAGCGAGACCCCATCTCTACTAAAATTAGAAAGAAATTAGCTGGACAACTAAAAAATACATAGAAAAAAATTAGCCGGGCATGGTGGCACATGCCTGTAGTCCCAGCTACTC